GTAAAAAGAAAAATAATCTCTATAAAGTGTTTATTAAAGAAAAAACAATAGAAGTGGAACAAAGATATAAGAAGTACAAAAATAAATTAACTGATATTATAAGAACAAGCAAACGGTTATATTATCAAAAAAAACTATATGAACATAAAAATAATATAAAAGGAACTTGGGATGTCTTGAATAGCCTAATCAAACAAGGATCCTCAAAGTTGATATATCCTGATCACTTTATTGATGAAATTGGTGAAGAATATAATATGAGTAATGTAGTAAATAAGTTTAACAAGTTTTTTGTAAATGTTGGCCCCAAGTTGGCCGCTGACATTCCAGACAATGGAGCTATAAGATCAACTATTGAACGGAATTCCTTTTCATTCTTCCTCTCAGCTACAAATGAGCAGGAAGTAACAAACATTGTCTGTGAATGTAAAAATAAGTTCTCCACCGACTGTCATGATATCAGTATGACATTGATTAAAAAAGTTATATTGAATATTGTAAAACCCTTAACGTACATTTGTAATTTGTCATTCCAAACTGGCTGCTTCCCAAGTAAAATGAAAATCGCTAAAGTAATTCCAATTTTCAAACAGGATAACAAACACGTTTTTACTAATTACAGACCAATCTCTCTTTTGCCTCAGTTTTCAAAAATTCTGGAGAAGCTTTTCAGTTCTCGACTTGAAAGGTTTCTTGAGAAATATCATGTAATTAATGATGGCCAGTATGGCTTTAGGCCCAAAAGAACTACCTCGATGGCAATAACTGAAGCTGTTGAAGAAATTACTAATGCACTAGAGCAAAAAAAGTATGCAGTTGGTATCTTTATTGATCTAAGAAAAGCCTTTGATACTATTAATCACACAATCTTGTTAAATAAGATGGAAAGATATGGAATTAGGGGGCTGGCTGGAGATTGGTTAAAAAGTTATTTAACAGGGAGGTCACAGTTTGTAAAAATGGGTCAGTATTTATCAGACACTCTTGGCATAGTTTGTGGTGTCCCCCAGGGGTCAGTGTTGGGGCCAAAATTATTTAACGTGTATATAAATGATATTTTTACTATATCCAAAGTACTGAAACTCATACTATTTGCAGACGACACGAATATATTCTATAGTAGTGATGATTATAAGGAGCTCGTAAATGTGGTAAACAGGGAATTAAATATAATAAAAAAATGGATGGATACAAACAAATTATCTTTGAACATAAACAAAACTAAAATAATGATGTTTGGTAATCGTAGCAAATTGATTGAACAGAGAATAAGTATTGGTGATACCCAAATTGAAATTGTGAGTGAGTATAAATTTTTGGGGGTAATAATCGACAGTAAATTGTCTTGGAAGCCCCATGTCAGACACATTAAAAGAAAAATCTCCAAAAGCCTCTCAATTATAAACAAAGCAAAACTATACCTTGATAAAAATGCACTCCGTACCCTATACTGCACTTTGGTACTACCATACCTTATGTATTGTGTTGAAGTGTGGGGAAATAATTATCAGAACACAATAAATCCTCTGATTATATTACAGAAAAGAGCCGTGAGGGTCATTCATAAGGTTGGTTATTTAGAACATACTCATAAGCTGTTTAAGCAGTCAAATTTGTTAAAACTCGATGATCTTGTAAAATATAATACAACAATAGTCCTCTATAAAGCATTTAACAACTTATTACCGCCTAACTTACAACGTTTTTTTCAAATTCCTGTGCGAGCTCATAACTTGAGAGGCTTTGGATATTTTTCGTTACCAAGAGCCCGAACTACTCGTAAACATTATTGTGTGTCTGTATGTGGAGTGAAACTCTGGAACAAACTGGACTTACAACAAAAGCAATGTCAAACTATCCATCAATTTAAATTGTCATATAAACATAGGGTCTGGTTAAAATACAGAGAGGAGGATTTTTAATTTATATTGATGTTGTACTCTGTCTTATAATGTTAACATGTGCTCAATGTTTCCTTACCATCGTTGGTATATTGTCCATTACCATCGTTGGTATATTGTCCATTACCATCGTTGGTATATTGTCCATTACCATCATTGGTATATTGTTCATTACCATAGTTGGTATTGTTTATTCTTCTTAAACTGTTTGATAATGTTGTTATAATAAATTATTGTGACTGTGGTAACGCCACCATGATACAACCTATGTAAACAATCCGTGACCAAAGTAAACATGAAGCTTAATGTATTAATCACCAAGTGGTGAACTGGGGTGGGATTAAATAAGTTTTCTTCTTCCCACGCCCTTTCAGGTAGAATTCGATTTGTTTTGTTTGTTGTTGTTTTTTTGTTTTTTTTGTTTGTTTTTTGTTGTTGTTTTTTTGTTTGTTTCTTGTTTCTTTTTGCACTGTATGACTTAACAAACATTTTGTCTGCCTTGTACTTTTTTGCCATTGCCTGAAATAAATAATAAAAAAAAAAAAAAAAAAAAAAAAAAAAAAAAAAATTACTTTGTTTTCCAGCCATGGCTTGAAGGGATTGTTGCTGAGTCTACAGTCAGCAGCTGAACTTGCTGAGCCCAGCCCCATGTCCAATATCTGCTGAGTTTTACCAGATTACTCAAACTAACCTATTGAGTACCTTTTTTCAGCTGTTGATGAATATGGATCACCGACGATCAAGCCGTACAGAGCCAGTGGTGGAGCATATAGAGAGGAAATGAAGACCCTCCTAGACCAACTTGATAATCAAGTAATTATTTAGCCATATGTCTTTGCCATATGTCTTTGGTTAAAGTGACCTATTATGATTTTTTTGGATTTTACCCTCTTCTTCGTGTGCGTGTAATGTAGGTATTTTTGCACGCAATCGATCCGCAAAGTCCACATCAAAGTTAGATGATCTCACCAAAAGAAAACAGCTGCCTGAAACTTCATTTGTAGTCCCTAACGTTATTTCTGCTTCTGGTTTGATATAACATGTATATCATTTGTTCTGCATTTGATTTTCTGTTTTTCAAACCTCCTATATCATTGCTCATTGAAAGGCTACAGCTCTCAAATGACTCCCTGTTTTTATGAGGGGAAATGTCCTGAGGAAGATGCACGTTATCGGCACATATACTCGTACCTGAGATCCTTCCCCAGATCCTGAAAGGAGAAAACAGCTGTTTGTTATTGCACATTTACTAATTTTACTATCAGAAAATAGGCAGAGAAAATAGTAGAAAGCAGGAGACAAATTGAGGAGACGTGGTTTTCGTGTCGTCTGTAGTGAGAGACGAGTCAATGAGCTGTGCGATGAATAAGCGGGTCAAGTGCAGATGATGACCTGTGTCTGATTGCAGTGATTGGAGTGGGGAGACCGATAAAAGCCACACAGTGGGAGAGGACGAGAGAGAGCTGGCTGGACAGAGAAGCTGGAAAGCCGAAGCTGAATTTGAAGTTGTTCGACATGGAAAGAGTTTTGTGAATGAAGTTGTGCTGTAGCTGTGCTGTGCTGAATGTGCTGTTTGCACGTCTTTTGTTTTGTCAGAATCTGAGTAAATAAAATTAAGTACGAGTTCCAGTCCCGCCAACCCTGTCTCCTTCTTCCTACCCTCCTGTTGAACCCCGTTACAACCTTAGTTAGTGCATAAAATAACATGAACTGACCATAAGCCATAGTAATTTTTTAATTACATCTTTTTTAATTTTAGTTAATAAGAATACAACTGATCATTGTTTGTTAATGTTAGCTCAGTGCATTAACTAATTTTAACAAATACAACTTTTGGTTTTAATTGTGTATTAGTAAATATTTAAATTAACATTGAAAAAGATTAAAAAATGCTGTAGAAGTGCAGTTCATTATTCATGTTAACGAGTGAAACCTTATTGTAAAGTGTTACAGAATAATCTTAGTTGAATTTTTCTCAGTGTGATTTCATCTGATAGCACAAATTCATTAGGTGTTATAGCAAAGCAAAGACAGTGGAATATTACATATTATTATAATATTACGTGGAAGTTGTTTTAAAGTTATCTTTCTCCCTGACCACATGGCTAGTTTGGTCGAGGCCTGGGGCCTGTTGAGGCCACGCCGAGCACCCAGGAGAAGTGAGGAAGTTAGAAGTGTGGGTGATTGGAGTCGTTGTTGTTTGGAGTCCTGGTTCCAAACTCCTGAGATTGTCCTTGGTTCTTTGTGAGAGTCTTCTCTCTCCTCCATGGGGCCGTATCTGGTTGGAAGCAAGGCCTGCTTGGCCCTCAGGGCCTCGTGGAGGGGGTTCCCCAGTCTCACCAGAAACAGTGTTTGTGGCCGGATGAAAAACTAAGAGAGGGTGGTCACATGTGGACTGTCTCTAATAAAGCCTGGGAAAGATCCAACCCCTAAGGGTTGACTGGACCAATAAGCATGGTGAAATGTCTGAGTGGGAGGATTGTTCTAGTTAATTTATGAGTCTTTGTACCAAGCGTGGTTATACCTTCATTATGCTCAGATAGATATAACACATCCACACTGCATTCTAGAAGAAAGTGATGTACATCAAAGTGTGCGTCATTAAATGAGGATTAATTAGATAGGAGGCAAGGTTCACATGTGTCTGGTGTGAAAGGAAGGGCATTCGACATAAAACCTGTGCCAAATCTTGTGTGTGTTAAGTGGACCCTGCAAATGGGGGAACAACGCTTAGAAAGACATTTTATTGTTGTTTTAATGTTTTATTATGCCTGTCCAATACATACTATTGAATTGTGAGATCCGACACTCAATTAACGCGACCCAAGGTTTCTGTGACTTTACCTTTGTGTGCTATAAGGATGCTGACCAATGATCTATATAATCATTTTTTTAAAGGGAGAGAGATGAATCAGAGTTATTTTCTGTTGTGATCAACAAAGTGCCGCAAATGTTGTGAATAGAGATGAACATCTACTGAACCCGGAACATCCCTTTGATTACGATTAAAAATGAACTTGAACTACGTCTTATCTGGAGCATTGTGAATCATGTACAAAAGACAGTAAATCAGGACACTATAAAAGGAAAATGAGAGGCTGTGAGGATGAAGAGCAAGAGCTGGAAACAAACATCAGTGAAGAATGAAGGGTTTAGTGTGTTTACTGCTGCTGTTGGAAACCTTTGTGTGTGTCGTACAGCATCAGGTAGATGGAGGACTCAATGAGAATGAGATCAGTCAACAGCTCAGGTCTGAGGACGGAGGACAGAATCCACCTCAAACAGACACTTTGAGAGATGAAGCTTCAACTGACAGCCAAAAAAACTACCATCTGTGCTTCACTGACATCCATGCAGCGCTGAGAGAACTGACCGCTACAGTTACAGAGCAGAAAACAAACATCAGAGAACTGACCGCCACAGTTACAGAGCAGAAAACCAACATCAGAGAACTGACCGCCACAGTTACAGAGCAGAAAACAAACATCAGAGAACTGACCGCCTCAGTTACAGAGCAGAAAACCAACATCAGAGAACTGACCGCCACAGTTACAGAGCAGAAAACAAACATCAGAGAACTGACCGCCACAGTTACAGAGCAGAAAACCAACATCAGAGAACTGACCGCCACAGTTACAGAGCAGAAAACAAACATCAGAGAACTGACCGCCTCAGTTACAGAGCAGAAAACCAACATCAGAGAACTGACCGCCACAGTTACAGAGCAGAAAACAAACATCAGAGAACTGACCGCCACAGTTACAGAGCAGAAAACAAACATCAGAGAACTGACCGCCACAGTTACAGAGCAGAAAACCAACATCAGAGAACTGACCACCACAGTTACAGAGCAGAAAACAAACATCAGAGAACTGACCGCCACAGTTACAGAGCAGAAAACCATCATCAGAGAACTGACCACCACAGTTACAGAGCAGAAAACAAACATCAGAGAACTGACCGCCTCAGTTACAGAGCAGAAAACCAACATCAGAGAACTGACCGCCACAGTTACAGAGCAGAAAACAAACATCAGAGAACTGACCGCCACAGTTACAGAGCAGAAAACCAACATCAGAGAACTGACCGCCACAGTTACAGAGCAGAAAACAAACATCAGAGAACTGACCGCCACAGTTACAGAGCAGAAAACAAACATCAGAGAACTGACCGCCACAGTTACAGAGCAGAAAACAAACATCAGAGAACTGACCACCACAGTTACAGAGCAGAAAACAAACATCAGAGAACTGACCGCCACAGTTACAGAGCAGAAAACCATCATCAGAGAACTGACCACCACAGTTACAGAGCAGAAAACAAACATCAGAGAACTGACCACCACAGTTATAGAGCAGAAAACCAACATCAGAGAACTGACCGCCACAGTTACAGAGCAGAAAACAAACATCAGAGAACTGACCGCCACAGTTACAGAGCAGAAAACTAACATCAGAGAACTGACCGCCACAGTTATAGAGCAGAAAACCAACATCAGAGAACTGACCGCCACAGTTATAGAGCAGAAAACAAACATCAGAGCTTTAGAGACGAGACTAAGGGAACAACAGACGTTTATTCTGGAAGAGATGAACAAGAAAAATGATGGTACCTCACCAAAACATTCACTCTTTTATCATTGATCCTCCAAGTAAAACACCAATGAAATAAATTGCATAGTATAAATGTTATTGTAAAGTTCACCTTATACTGTGTAAAATGTGTTATTACAATAATCAGTGTAAATGTAATTTAACAGAATCTTAATTCTTTCACAGAAATATCAAATCTTACTCTGGGTCAAGTGGAGTTGAGAAAGGAAAATAGAGGTAAAAGTGTGCTTGAATGAAGTTAAATTCAGTGTAAACATCATCAGTGTAATAGAGTAATACAATATTGCTTATGTTTTTCAATAACAGACAGAGAAATAGCTTTTTCAGCTTCACTGATGCAATCTGGCGGTGGACATATTGGTCCTTTTACCACTGAAATCACACTAACCTACAGGAACGTCTTCACAAACATAGGGAACGCCTACAACCCAATCACAGGTAATGATCAATGAAATGAGTCATAAAACTTTAGAATGAAAACCCTTCTGCTCCATTCAGACTTCTCTGCAGTTGTGTAATGTGTGTAAGAGAATTAAATGATCTGCCATCTTTCAAAACTATTACACAGTGTTATTTTTATTGTTTTGATGATTAAGCGATCATACAGGAAACATCTGATTCTGTATTTCTTGTTATTTGATTTAGGTGTTTTCACAGCCCCGCTGAAAGTAGCGTACATGTTCAGAATCTCTGTATTTGGTTTTGGCCCAACTGCAGCATCTGCATCCATTTTTAAGAATGGAGAGCGTGTGGTTACAGCACATGAATTTCAGCCTCAGGATCGGTTAAACTCCTCTAATGGAGTTGTGTTGATCCTGGAGGTTGGAGATGTTGTCTATGTGAGACTTTGGTCTGGCAGGAGGATATATGATACTCAGAATAACCACAGCACTTTCAGTGGTTTCCTACTGTTTCCCTTAAGATAACAGGAGCTTTGCAGAATGTGATTCCAATAATTCTGAACCTTCAGCGTATGATTTAAGATGGAAATCATGAAGAATCATTAACATGATTAAGCAATATTAATAAGGATTAATGTGTGTTTGAAATTTGCAATTTTACAACACCAAAGCGGTGCCAGCCGACCCAGGTACTCACAGATGGTTAGGTATCAGCAGACAATGCAGGAGGGGTACTGGGCAGGAACTCTGTAACAAGCACAGCTTAGTCGCAAACACAGTGTGGCTGAAAAAAAACTCTGCAGTGCACTGCACAGGACAGGACAGGACAGATAGGTAAGTGCACAGAGACCTCATATGCATAACTCACAAAATAATCGGGCAAAGAGACTGGGGAAGCAGGGGTAAAAGAAGCAGAGATAATTAGAGAAAGAGAGAACAGGTGTGGAAAGAATGATGAGCTAACGAGTAGATAGTGGAGACAGCTGGGAGTGATGAGATATATGTGTGAGCGTAATGAATGACTGAGAGATGTGTGCGTGCATGATGAATGGTGTGGTAATCAGCGAGTGTATAGGTATGTGTCCAGAAGGGGGAGACAGAGTAAGGAGAAAGAAAGCCAGGATCATGACAAAGCACAAATTTTAATTACAAAATTATTAGTGTACAAAATACAAATTTAGAGTGTAATCTACAAGATACAGTTGAATGTTTTACATATCAATAGTTTTTTATTTTAAATTCTGCATCAGATTTAATTTTCATTTGTGACAATTTCTCTACAAACATCAAACTTTCCTTGATTCTTATGCATATCACCACCAAAGTTCATGTCACATATACAAAAATAGATTCCAGCCAATTTTCAACATTTTATTCACTGTTATAGAAACATATTTGACTCAACTTCGATAATTTGCCGCACCCTCAGATCGAAATAACACTGTGATCCGGGACATCTACGCGCTGAGCATGACGAAACGAGCTGAGACTTTTTACACAGACGCCATTTTCTTTGATTCACAATGCAAGGCATGTGATGAGGCAAACAGCATGGATTAAGTGTTTTATCGCATTTATATATGAATTTTTATATGCAGTTTTATAACATCATATTGTTTTAGAACAATGTGTACGTGCTGTGCACGGCTAAACCGCTATCAGGGGGGCATTTCCGTTGACGCGAGATGAAGAGCAGACCAGGATGGGTTTGCTTTTTAACAGGGAAACGCTGAAAGCAGGGCCGGAGTGGGGCCACTTTTCAGCCTGAGAGTTTTAGGCCCAAGACCGGCCCACTTTTTCCATGGTGGTAGAAATTGGATAAAAGAAGCAACAATTCAGCTCTTACTATAGTGTAGTTTTTATTAATACCATGGTTCCGCAATAATGTAAAGGTTAAATAATAATTCACTTAAGCTGAAAAGTTAACAAAAATACCAGTAATTTTTTTGCATGGATATCAAAATGTAATTTACTCCTTTACTACAACCACTTCAAACAATACATTTTGGTTTATCATGTATCGTCATATACTGCTCTTTCTTAAAATTAGAGGGATTTGTGGATATCTACTTTTGTTAAGGCGGGCATACACTGTGCGATTTTCGTCCGATTTTGAGCCAAATTCTGCGACTTTTTCGTGTCGGACCGATTTTCAGCTTTGTCGTGCGTCGTTTGTCGTGCAGCGTTCGTGCAGTGTACAGGGAGAAACGAGAGGCGATTAGCCTCTCACGATCAACAATCGGATGGTCGGATGGATTTCTGGCATGTCAGAAATTTTGGTCGCTCCTCGTGACTATATCGCACAGTTGAAGCAAAGCTACGAACCGATTGGCCTAAACTCAGTGTTTTTTCCCTCACTGCACCTGCGCCAAAACAGAAGTTTAACCATTTCATCTGCAGCAAAAATAAAATGAAAATAAAAACGAAAAGAGGGAGCGCTTTAAGTTCTGTAGTTCAAACTAGCTACAAATTACTGTTGCTTACCTCCAGTTCGTGTTGCAAAATGGATAATATTACCCACGTTTTCCAAGCCACCTGCGATGTAACACCTCTTTTATTAATTTGTTAAACAATATTTTTGAAATAAACCTGTTTTTAATTTTCATTGATGATAATTATGGCAATGTTTGGACATATTATAGACTGTTAATAGCTATTTTATATGCCTATAATTCATTGTAATCGACCTAAATGTTTTAGACCATTTTTAATGAGGAGTAAGATTATGTAATATTTTATTATCCTCGCAGCACGTTGGTTATGTGCTGTGAAAATATTGCGCGGCAAATTAATTACAATAACGGATCAATTTAATAATAAAATTAGCCTATAGGCCTCCCCTAAAAATTATAATACAATAATACTAATGATAATTAAATGCATAAACTGAAAATGCAAATCATCTTGATATGGATACCAGATGCTTGTTTTGACAATATCTTTGGATACATACACGTCTATAGACGCAATCCAGGGGGTTATCGCAGATATTACACATATAGTGTGAGCAGTGAAGTCGCAGCTCGACGATCGGACCGTACAGTGTGACCACATAAATCCTGAACTTTGGCTTTGCATCGCATGCGATTTACTCGTTGAGTGTGAGTAGGTACCTTGCTGAAATCACACAGACATCGCACAGTGTATGCCCGCCTTTATCCTGTAAATCAAAATATACTGTCAATAGCCTTAAAAAATGATTTTTGGAATAAAATGTTATAGAAATCAGGCTACGATTTATATATTTATAAATCTCTCAGTAAATGTCTTCATAATATAAGGTACCCCAGATAGCAGACTGACATTGAATCAACGTGGAAATATGACATAGAAACAACGTTGATCTGACATTGTTTTGCTCATCGAATTAACGTTGAACCAACGTCAGACGCGTCATTCTTTCAAAACTAACGGAAAATCAACTTGAAATCAACGCGTTGTTTCAACGTTATGAAAGTAAACCAATTTTCGATGTCATTTAGCTTTGAAGAATGCCGCGTCTGACGTTGGTTCAACGTTAATTCGATGAGCAAATCAACGTTGTTTCAATGTCATGAGAGACGTCGTTTCCACGTTGATTCAATGTCAGTTTGCTGTCTGGGACAAGCCTGGAAAGTTTGGTGAGGTGCTACTGACGTGGAGATTTCGGATTTGGAGTATGAAAGAAAAGTCATTTTGAGAAAACTGGCTTTGAAGATTTAGCATCAGCCAATGAGATTGCGCATTTAGAATTAAATCCTCCCTTTTATTTTCACGATTGGTTGCTGATAAAAAGGAAATGACCATATTTGGATCCTAGAGAATTACAGTAGAGAGAGATTTCTAACCATGTGTGTGACGACAGGGTGCAGACAGCAATCGCGGAGCAGTGGGATGATTTAGATTGCCAACTTTTGATGAATTTATGAGAAATCTACAGGCGCAAAATGACAAGTGTAGTCGCTATAAAGACCTAAATGTGTATCTGGAAGAAGTCTGGAAGAAGTCTGGAAGAAGACAAATATCCCAAAATCTCAAAATTGACAAAAAATAAAATAAAATAACGTTAATAATGTTTTTGCCTGCCGTGTCTCGCCTTAATTACATTTAACGCTAATATTTTGCTTGTGAATAGGTTGACAACGCTACAATGGGTATTTGCCGAATGATTATGTTGCAGCGCTGCTTATGCTAATCATTATACTAGGCGATCTCACTTTACCTGTTGCCACTTGTGTTTGTCCTCTTGAAAATAAATCTGTAAGCTTGGCACATTTGGCAGTATCCTCCTCCAATGCCTTTCTTTTTTCAACCTGGCTTTTTTAGCCCCTCTTGGCCTCTTCCTCGATCCATCTTCCCTGACGCGTACAGTAACGGTAGGGCCGGCCCAGCTATCGGTCGGTAGCCTAACGTTTTGCAAAAGACGGGCTATGGACCCAACCAACTCTATTTGGAAGAGAAGGGGAGACCTCCCTTACATGGTGCAACCCATGCAGTGGCTGCCCACTGCTGTGTTCTGCGG